GGATAATTGGGATGGGAGTGTCAGTGACAGTGCGATTGGTACAGGACAGAGCGGAGTTTAGGGCTGTTGTACAAAGGGTCGCTATGAGTCGCAGGTGACTCGACGGCACATAACAACAACAACAACACACTTTATAAACTGTCAAATGAACAAGAAAATGGGTGAAGGATAGAAATGAGTAATCTTCAGGAGAGGAGTCCGAACTGCCAGATGAGTATAGGAGGAAGTTGTGGATGAGGATTAACAGAGAAATGCAAACTAAGGCACTGAGATGCTACCTCACACCTAATTGGTCAGCAAAAAGGATGACGTCAGAGGGTGTAAATGTTAAAGAAGGATGCAAGGTCCTTCACAAGCTGCTGGTAGAGCCAGTCTGAGATGTAAAGCATGGACGTACTGTTGTCTGGCACTCCCTCTGTTAGGTACCAAGAAACATTCACATAACTCAGGTACAAAGATGTTCATCACAAACACCACAGAATATAGAGAGAGAAAGCGGAAGTAATCTACGTGTACGAGGGAATTTTCTTTAACAATGAGAACCATGTCAATGAAGAAAGAACATTATACAGCTTCTACTTGATAGTTGTATAAATAATAACTCTCTCCAAATTAAGGGAAAGCCCTTTTATAGACTGATTTAAAAAAAAAAAATATGTTCACTGCAATGCTGTTTTGGGAAGAGGTTGTTGAAAGTAACCTAGGTGTCTATACCTGGGGGAGTAAACAAAATTTCATGTAAGCTCAGCGTGGAAGGTTTGCAGCAGTTGGACGTAAGAAAGATGCGCCTACTGCAGCAGGCCTAGATCTTAAAAACATCATAGAGTGAAAGAAAAAGGAGCAACAGAGGGTGAGCCTTTTACAACACCAATTATCTAGTGGGGAAATATACACAAAACATGGGTACTTTCCATCCAGGGATATACCAGTGCAAATGAGTGGGTGCTTATGACTCCGAAGGTGTGAGGACGTGGGGATTGCTGATAAAATATCAGAAGATACTTGAATGCATTGATGATGGTAGGTATTGTCCCACAAAATGAGTGTAAAGCATGCAACTCTCTGGACCTGAAGCCTATCACTCTAAAGTCGGTGACTAGCACCTACATCATGTCTGGCCATGGAAGGCTCTATCTAAAAGGGTTTACAAGTAAATTTCAGCTCTTCTGTGAGGTCTGATAGAGAGGTTAGACCTAACTGGAAGGTTAACTTCCCAGCCGATTCATAGGAGGAAGATGTGGCTGTCTGCTTCTGTAAAAGATTACAGCTGTGGAAACTGTGAGGCGGGTCTAGTCTGTCCCACAGGGTGACGAGTCAGAATTTACTCTCTGACTGGTCACAATAGGTAGAGTGTGTCCCTCTCTGACTTCTTCGCAGGCTTCCTTCCTTTAAGCCTCTGAGCCTTCTTCAGGCCGTGTCCCTTCCCTGAGCATTGTCTTTGTCTGTCTCCTCTGCCTCTTCTTTGATTGATGAGGCCAGACTCCCCTCCACGGCTGTCTGTGGGGGCTTGAGCACAAAACAGGTTACTACAGAGCTTCGAGGGGGCGAGTCTCGAACCCTTTCCCCAAACTCTGAGCATTGTGAGGGTTTTCTTCACCTCCCTTCCCTCCACCACAGTTCCCATCGCCTTGCACACAGTCAAGAAAGGTAAACTGAGTCCCAGTGTCAGACGTGGAAGGAAATACCATTTATTGAGCACCTGTTAAATGCCAGACTCCACACTGGGGTCTCAGTCTCCACTCATTCATTCCCACAACCACTCTGGGAGGCAGGATAGATGTGGAAGTGAAAGGCACAGAGGAAGGGGGACATGGCCACACACGAGCCCGCGGCCTGTCTGGCTTCACATTACAGATCTTCAAAAGTCGAAGTAACTTGTCTCAGAACCAGGATCAGGAGTCACCCTCCTCAGGCTCAGGGCTGGAAAACCTCGGCTCCAAAGCGTTGATCCAACTCCTGCCACTAGGGGGAGGGAGACTCCGCCAGGTAGGGCCTTGAAAGCCCTTAATAACTACCTAACTTAACTACCTAACAGGCAATCAGCAGATTCCCTCAAATGTTCCCTCTCCTTCGAATCTAGGTTTTCTAGTATGCAAAATAAGACTTAATGCTCTTAGGTCTGGAATTCTTTCTTCAGTCTACCATCACGTGGCACGAAAAGAACAATTACGTCTTGGAAAAGGTGCAGCTGGAATGCTCCTTGGAGGCAAGGAAGCAAAGTCTCTCACAGGTTGCTAAAAGAAGCTATTCTTTGGAAAAGGTTATTATGCTTGGAAGTGTGGAGGGTCAGTGAAGGAGATGAAGACCTCCAACGAGGTAGACTGGCACAATGACTGCAGCAATGGGCTCAAGAGTATCAAAAGATGTTAAGAATAGCCCAGGACAGGCCAGGATTCAGATCTGCTGTTCATAGGGCCACGATGAGTCGTTCTCAACTCGAGACCATGCCCATTAGGTGGAGCCCGCTTTCGGCACCTCGCTCCGCTTCCAGAAGGCTGCAGTCACTGACACAAAGCTGGACCCTGTCACCCTCGGGCAGAGGCCGGCTGAACCAGCGCGAGGGAATCGGACGTCAGTGTTCAGCTTCGCTCGCCTCCTGGAGGCCATTCTCGGTACTGCATGGACCAGAATGCACGCGGACCTGCTGCAAGTGGAGGGACCCTGGGGACAGGGCCTGGGGAGCAAGAAGGGAGCGAGGCCAGAGGGTCGCGTGGGCATCGCCTACAGATAGTTGTCTTCAGCTGCATCGATCCCGCCTGGAGCGTCCTCATCTTCGCCTTCCTCGTCGTCGTCCGGAGCCAGCGCCTCGATGTCGTGGGTGATGTCGGCCAGCAGCCGGTGGAAGGCCTGCGCCTCGGGCTGCTGGGCGGCGCCATCGTAGCTGCGCACAGCAGAAGCCGAAGTGGAGCTCATGCTGCGCTTGATGCGGCCAAAGCTGTCGGTGAGGATGCCGCCCTTGCGGATGCCCACGCCCTCTATGAAGCTCTCGAAGTAGCCAATGTCCTGATCCGGGATGAAGGGGCGCATCCCTGTGGGGCGCAGGGCAGGCTGAGTCCTCAGCCCTCAGCCTCTTGCGCTCCCACAGAGGGTCCACTCTCCCTGGAGACCTGAGTTCAATTCTAGCCTCTCCCGCCCGCTGCCGGTGGGCTGTAACTCTAGAAATTCCTTCTATTTTAGGCAGAGGGTGGCATCATGCTGAGGAGACAGAAATGCCCGTGTAACATGCTAGCTGCTGCTTGCTTCTTGCTATATTTCTATTTATTAGCTGTGTGACCTTCATTAAATGATTGCTCTGTGCTTTTACAAACTGAGAAAAGTGCTCGCTTCGGCAGCACAAATACTAAAATTGGAACGATTAGCATGGCCCCTGTGCAAGGATGACACGCAAATACGTGAAGTGTTCTATATTTTGTGCAACAATGAATGAATGGAAATCCAAGTTCTCTATAAACTTTCATTAAAATCTCAAAATAAAAAATAATTGCGATAAACGGTATGTTTCCCCAGAAGGGATGGGAGGATTAAATAACAAGATGCCTGGCATCTGAGTGTCCCATTGAATGCCATCCTTACTCACTAGCTATGTGTCTTGGGCACCTTACTTCATGTCTCTGAGCCTCAGTTTCCTCATCTGTAAAATGGGGGTAAGTAATATCTATCTACTTCTTATAATCGTGAGCATCCAATGATATGATGAAAGCATTCAATCTTGGCACACGGTAACTGCCAAATCCATGCCAACTTACTAGTTTTGTGATTAATCCTCCTTATTAGAGATGTGAGACAGCCCTGGTGGCTTAGTCTGCAGTGCTGTGCTAACCCAAAAGTGGTGCTTTGCTGGGGTTTCAAATCCAGCAGCAGCTCAGACGGAGAGAGACAGGCAATCTCTACCTGTGTGTAATATACAGATCTGGAGGGTCAACTGTGAGTCAGAAGTGACCCAACAGTGGCAATGAGACTAGCTTTGCGACCTTGGACAAGAACCTGAGCCTGTTTCCTCCTGGGTAAGATGGGGAGAAACACTCCCTCCCTCAGCTTTATCGTGAAGATGAAATGACTACACAGTACTCTGTTACTCTTCTCGGCTCTGTGACTGCATCCAAGTTCCTTGCTCCCTCATCCCTGGGTCTTCCCAGCTGCCCCTGGAGCTCCCAGGTTGGAGGAAAGGCTCCCATCACAGGGCCTGACATGGGAAGGTGCAGAGGGCCGTGGCTAGCCATCGGGAAGGCAGGGGCTCACCCAGCAGGAGGAACTTGCGCCGGTCTCCGTACAGCTTCAGCAGGCCCGCACAGTAGTCCTGGATGGGCAGCCCCAGGCGGTACTCCCGCAGCAGCATGGCAAACTGCTGGATCTCAGGGGGCCCCAGCTTACTCCTCAACTGTGGCCAGGGAGGGTGACAATGCCAAGGGGGTAACTCCTACTGTAACACCCAGGGGCACTTCTGGTCCACCCCTCCTCTGAAGACTCTTCTGTGGTCTACCCAGGGGATAGCCAACCCTTTGGGCTCTAAATGCCTAAATTAAAATCTTAGCCTCTTCATTCACGTGATCTTGGGAAAGTGACAACCTCCCTGACCCTTGGTTTCTTCATCTGCAAAGTGAAGACAGTGACAGAATCTCTTTGGGTTACTTTAAAGGATTCAAAGAGATGATATATGAAAGATGTACCTAGTATACAGCAAGCACTCAATTAATGCTAGCTGCCATTAGTAAAAGCCGTGTACCACCACCTGGCTTCAGTTTACTCACCTAATCTCATCACCTGCCCTGTGTGCTGAGATCTTATGCTTCAATTATGCTCAGGACTATTTTCTGGAATGTCTCATGATCTCTCCAGCCTTTGAACCTATGTCTGCCCTGTTGGCACCACCTGTCCCTGGCTCACCGTGACCATGTAATCCTGCAGCTGCTCAAGGCCAAGGCCGCTGTGGTCGCTGCTGCTGCAGTGCGAGCCGTGGAAGGAAGGCGTGGATGTGCCACTGTAACAAGCTTCAAAGGTGTCCTGGGAGCCATTGCTGCAGGGACAGATGGAAAGGAACCGGCACTTAGTGGCCTTCTTCAAGCTCCTCTCCCTGGGGCAGGCTGAAGGTAGAAGGGCGCAGCCACCAATGCCTGGGACCTGTGGCCTCCCAGACATCAAGGCCTCTCACCAGACCTGGCCACTGCCCAGCTCTCCAGCCTCATCCCTTACCATTTCCACTTGCTCTTTAGACTCCAGACATCTGCCTTCTCCTTTACCTTCTTATGCTTCTAGCAACTTCTCACCACCGGGCCTTTGCACATGCTGTCCCCCCTCTGTATGCAGAGTTTCTCTCCTACCTTTTGCTCAGCTAACTCGTCAAGTCTTTCCACATACCAGGCAAGGCCTCTTGAGACTCTTAACCCACCACATTCATGCCTCCCACATGACAGGCTCTTTCCTGCTCTAGCCCCCTAATGTGTGTCCATATAAATAGGAGAGAGCTAGCAGGTGACAGTGGGACCATTTCTGGGTCTGGTTGTCCCAGGGCCTCCAGCAGGCGGTCTGGAGCCTGTGAGTTCACCAGACAGGAGAGAGCTCAGTTCAACTTCTGCCATAAGCACTATCCCAGCATAAACCAGGGTGGGGTCGCTGCCTCCCACCCACAGAAGGCCCAACATTGCCTGGAAGAGGGACCCTGTGTTGGATCGGAGAGAGAGTGGGGTCCCCAGGATGTGTGGCACATACAAGGAGCTGCAGCAGCTGAAGTCGGCATCATAGGCGTAAGTTCCGTCCGTGTGGAAGCTCTCACCTGGGGCAGCAGACAAGGGGATGTTGGGGGTGGGGGGCACACAAGGGCCAGCCAGCATCCTCAGCTTCCTGAGGCCCCAGGCTCACTCACCCTGGAATCCAGCCTGCCCCTGCCACCAAAGCACAGGTGACCGACGGCAACTCTCCTCTCCTGCTCCCTAACTTCTCCAGCTTGGACAATCCCACCTACCTGGGCGGTCTGGGCTATAGTGAGAGAATATTGTGTAAACTGTGTGTGAGACAAGGCAATAAAGAATTTTTATGAGGATGAAGGAATTAAACGTCTCTAAGGACCTGTCTACTGACAGGTGGTTCTGTTCCTGGCCTTGCCCTCTCATTTAATTTGGGTCTCTGGTCAAGGTCAGGTTCATGGCACTACTGATTCCCCAAAGGCTACTTCCTCCTTATGTGTTCTCGTAGCACAGTGTGTGGTGACTTACTGATTTATGCCACTGTTTGGCTTTTTGCTGACCCACCTTGAGTGTGAGGGTAGGGATCCCATCTACTATTGATCATCACTATACTGGTGATCACTGCATCTGACACATCACGGGTCGCATGAATTTGCGGAAATGTCTCTTGACTCACCTCACTTATGTACCTAGCACCCCCGTGAAAATCCCAGGTTCCCAACAAGCACAGCTCCCAGGCAGAGAAGTGCCTCCAGGAGCAAGGATTTTTATATTTTATTTTATATGGGCTGGATCTATTCCAACAGCGACCACATGGGGGTGCTGTGGCAAAGGAGATTCACCAAACAGCCAAGAGCCAGGAGATGAGTGCTTTAGAATCAGAAAAACCTGGGTTTGAATCCTGGCTTTGCCACTTAACAACTGTGTGACCTTGGGCAAGTTCATTAGCTATGCTGAGATTTATGCCCTCATCAGTAAAACTGAAATTATACGGCCTCAGAGGGTTCTTACATCGATTCAAAACACACTTCTTCAGCATCTGTGATGTATCCAGTCCCATGCTGGAGGATTCAGCGATGGTCAGAATAAGTGAGCTTACTATAAGGATGACATAAGACTTGGCACATTGGGACTGTGTTTGGTATACAGTTGGTGGTCAATAAGTGCCTCTATTCTCCTCTCAACCTTGACTGTACTTGAGGATCACCTGAAAATCTTGGTTTTAACCAGTGTGAAGGAGGCTGACCGCTCAAGAAGCAGATAGTACACACAGTTAGATTTCTGCAGAGCAAGGACATCACAAACAAGAGAGGAAATGTCAGCTCTGGGGTTCACTCAGAATTTGGAAACGTGAACTTCTAGGAAGAAGCTAGGGTTGAGGCATTGTAGCGACGTCCCTGGGGGGTGCGTATGATTACTGTGCTCAGCTGCTAAGCAGAAGGACAGGGATTCAGATCTCCCCAGAGGTGCAGCAGAAGAAAGGTGTGGCAATCTACTTCCCAAAAGTCAGCCATTAAAGTCTCTATGGAACCCACGTCTACTCAGACACACCTGGCGTCACCAGGAATCGGAGTCAATTTGACAGTAACTGGTTCTAGGAGGGATCAGTACCCTGATCTGCCCTCGGTGTTGGGACATCCCTGCTCTTGAGATGTTTCACGGGAGGGGCAGCTGGGGCTCTGTTACTCACTGCGGCTGCAGAGCCACGGCCTTTCGGGTGTAGACGTGTAGTGGTAGCCAGCCCGGTCCACACACTCAATGCTCTGGTCCCCATAGATGATCTGGAACACCTGACAGATAAGGGCACAGGATTCCTCTGCAGCGTCCTGGTCCAGAGAGGGAGGGAGGAGAGAAAACTCAGGCCTGTATCAGTGCTTCTAAATCACAGATACACCTAAGGCCTCCTTTAAGCCAATGTTAAGGATATCTTCCATCAAAATTACAATGGCATGTGCCTTCTTGTGCCCCTTTATAGACAATGCTGGCTCCAGTCTAGATGTGCCCCGAATTTCTGAACAATTCAACAACCATACTGAGACATATCTAAAACAAGTCCTAACTTAAAGGCATGGAAGCTGAGGTCCAAAAGTTGAAGTGATTAGTTGAGACTCTTAAGAGGAAAGATTAAATGTATCAGAATTTTAGGTTTAGTGTAATTCATGCCCCTGGCTGCTATATTTAGATAGTTTTCTGGCAAAAATAGAAGCAAGATGCACACATAACCACCAGTCTCCAATAGAAGGAAAGAATTTAAGTTCTTGGGTGGAAATTTGTTATTTCCAGTTTGAAGAGGACTTGGCTTCTTAAATCTTTGCACAAGAGGCATAGACAGGCAATAATTGGTAAGGACAGCAACTTTATGTGGTCATCTGTTCTTCTGAACTCTAAAAAGCCTAGGATGTAAATGTAATTCAGCAAAGGCATTTTGGGACTGTGGAGGTTAACAAGTGGTTTAAAAGGATTGCTATTTACAGCTCTGTAAGATGGACAGGGCAGGCAGGATCCCCATTTCAAAGTGAAGGAAACTGAGGTGTAGAGTTCAGGCTCCATCAGTAGGTTCCAGGCGTCAGCGGATATTGACATCTAGGTTTTTGGCTCTAACTCCTGTACTCTCCTGGGACCACAAGGCCTCGGATAGGAGGTCAGTGGCTCCGAAACCCCAGGAAGCATTTCTTCCATAAACTCTGTTTAGTCCTGATGTCTGATTATCACTTGGGTCTGGGGGCTCAGGGGTGAATTAGATAAAGTCTGTACCCTGAAGACCTCACAGTCTTCACACGGCACAGCATGCCGTTCCCTTGTTCAGAACTCCCTTTTCTGACACCCTGCTGCCTCCTCCATATCTCAGCTTAAACATCACCACCTTACTTTCCTTCTCAACAACACATCCTTTCTCTTAGTCTTCATCACTGCAACCTACATGTTTCTCTGGCCCTTTCCCAAGATAGAATGATATCATAGTCATTCATTTAATCTACTCCTGTGAGTTTTGAGCACCTATCATGTGCCTGGAGCTGTCCTGGGTCCCAGCAGCATAACCGGGAAGCACCTCGAAGGCACAGCTCTCTTGCATCTCACCTGGAGGTGAGTGGCTGGAGTGGGGTGAATAAAGGTAGGAATAAATAGAGATGGGGTTGGGATGGGGGTATAGAGCAGGGTGGCTGGCGTGGGTAAAGCCTTTACATGGAGTAGGTGGTGGTGTTTATGTACTGTCGAGTCAGAACTGACTCATAGCTCACCCTTCAGCAGGGTTTCAGAGCTTATAAATCACAAGGAAGAAGATTGTCCATCTCTCCCTCAGAGCAGCTGGGAGATTTGAACCATGTGCAGGCAACACAACTCCTTACCACAAAGCTTCCCAGGCTCTCTTTTTACATGATTGTTGTGTGACAAGTCAAGACTGATGCATGGCTGACTCTTCAGCAGGTGTTCAGAGGCAGTAAACCACCTGGGAAGAGACTGCCGGTCTTTCTCCATTCACAGAAGCTCGTGGGTTTGAACTACATGCCTTTGGGACTGCGGCAGGGCTTCTTACCACTAGGCCACCAGAGCTCTTTCACCTGGTTTTTGGGTGCCATTGAGGTGGAACCAACCCATGGCTGATGCTCCAGCAGGTTTTCCTAGGCGGTAAATGGCACAGGAGGAGCCTGCCCAGCATGGTAAGGATGCTCATTTTATTCTGAGCCAAGTAGGAGCCACTGGGAGGTTCCAAGTGGTGACACAATGTGTGTGGGGAGCAGGCTGAAGGCAGTGAGGCAGAGCTACGCAACCCAGATAAAAGGGTAAAGACCAGGACAGGGACAGTGGAGGGTTGGGGATAAGTAGATGGGTTTTGGTATAGTTTTAAAAAGTGAGCAACAAAATTTCCTGACAGAGCACCTATGGATTTGGGGATAGATAAAGGAAGCAAGAACGATGACTCCAAGGCTCTGGTCTTAGCAACGGAAGGCCAGCGTGGCTGTGAATGGAGGGAGGAGACAGGGAGGAGAGGTTTTGGGGGAGGAATCAGGAGCTCAGGTTTCAGTCACTAGACCTGCGGAAATCCTGAGGGAAGATATGACAAGAGGTACAATTTTTGGAGTTCGTTCACAGCTTCAGTTTGCTCGGCTCCACAGTCAACACTCTTGGTACCAGCAGTCAGGAAATCAAAAAGCGTATCGCGATGGGAAAGTCTGCTGTTAGGGACCTCTCAAAGGTATTCAGGAGCAACAGTGTCTCTCTGGAGACTAAGGTGCACCTGATACAGGCCATGGTATTTGCAATCGCTTGTTATGCATCAGAGAGTTGGACAATGACTAGGGAGGACAGAAGGAGAGTGGATGCTTTTGAGCTGTGGTGCTGGAGAAGGGTACTGAATGTACCATGGACTGCCAGGAAAACAAACAGATTCATCTTGGAGAGGATTAAACCAAGCTACTCCTTGGAGGCAAGGATTCTGGGGCTTCGTCTGACATACTTTGGACATGTTGCCAGGAGGGACGGGTCCTTGGAGAGGGACATCATGCTTGGGAGGGTGGAGGGACAGCGCAGGAGGGGAAGACCCTCTATGAGATGGACTGATTTGGTGACTGGGGTAATCGGGATGGGTGTGTCAGGGGCGGTGCGGTTGGCACAGGATAGAGCAGGGTTTAGGGCTGTTGTGCATAAGGTCGCTATGAGTTGGAAACGACTCGATGGCACATAACAACAACAACACTGCTTTTACAGATGTAAGTGAGAAGATGACTAGGAACTAAGATGGGCTACTCCAATCTTACTTAGACTACAAAACCTCACTGCTGTTGATTGAGTCTGTTCTGACTCCAAAGAGACCATCCACTGAGAGAAAAGTGCTCATCTTTTTTACATCAGAGCCATGGGTGGATTCAAACCACTGGAGACAAACAGCCTTTGGGGTTAACATGAAACTCATGATAGATTATACCATCAGAGCTCCCACTCCAAGCTTAGGAGATGGGAGATGGGGAGTAGGGGTGCAGAGGAGGAGCTAGCTGAGGAGTAACCAAGGAGGTAAAGAGGAAACCCTGGAGAGTGGAAGTCAAATAAGAAAGTGTCTCCTAGCATCATCTAAAGGGTATGTATTTTACCCACTGCCTGAGTGGAGTCTGACTCAGCAACCCTGTAAGACAGAGCAGAACTGTCCCATAGGGTTTCCAAGGCTGTACGTCTTTATGAAAGTCAACTGCTACACTTTTCTCCCACAGAGAAGCCAATGGATTTGAACCACCAACATTTGGATTAACAGCCACTTAACCACACTGCACCACGAGGGCTCCTGATGTACTGTCCATCTTTTCCCTCTAGACAGGCATTGTTATGGACTGAATTATGTCCCTCAGAGAGGTGTGTTGTAAATCCTGAGCCCCCACCACTCATTTGAACTTTTACAATGGTGGTTGGGAGCCAGGCTACATGAAGATCACCAAAGAGCCGAAGACGAAATGAGAGAAAGACATTCCCCTAGAGCCAACATAGACAGTATGCCTTCCTGAGAGCCATCACCACGACTTTGTTCTTCCAGGTTCCTAGGGAGAATATCTAGGGAAATCTGGTGGCTGGCTTAGTGGTAAGGAACTGTGCTGCCAACCCAAAGATACACGGTTCAAATCCACCAGCTGCTCCATAGGAGAAAGATGGGCAATCTCCTCCTGTGTGGTTGGTTTACCGCCTCAAGAAACCCATTAGAGGGTCAGCTATGAGTTGGTTCTGACTTGATGTATCAAATAAAAAGGTTCCTAATGGAGCTCTGTTATTGGGGTTTGTGGAGTGTTACACTAAAAGGCCTCTCATCTCCAGTGGTTTGAAACAACCCACCACTTGTCAGGAGAAAGATTGGCAGTCTCCTCTCCTTAAGATTTAGACTCTTGAAAACCTGATGGAGGGAGGCTATAAATTGGAACTGATTTGATGGCAGTGCAAGACACACTTTCTGTGTGAGTTTAAATGTCTCAGGGCTTGAAGTGTCTGTCAAAAGTCTTATTCGCTCTATAGCCACAGCACCTAGCCCAATGCCTAGCACATAGCTCGCACTTGACACATAATGTCAAATTAGTAAAAACAAGGGTGACTGGAGGATGGAGGAAGCAGAGAAGGCAAGGAAGGCAGTGAAGTTTTTGCCTCCAATGACAGCCAGCACTATCAAGAGAAACGTCTTTGGTAAACTTGGCTAAATTACTTCATGTTTGAGTCTCAGTTTCCTTCCTTCCCTATTGGGTGGGGATAATTGTAGTATCAACTTCTTGAGATTCTTGGGAGAAGTGACCATGTCTGGCATGGGCCGTACTCGATTTAAAGGGATTAGGACAAAGATTACGATGTTAGAGAAGGAGTAGGGCTGGAGGAAAGGGTTAGATGATTTCTGTTTTGATACTATTTGAGTTTTAGTGTAGTGACAGGTGTCCAAGGTTAGAGTCGTGGGCAGACAAGCAGCGCCTGAAATCCTGGATTGTTGGACGATAGGAGAAGGGAAGAGGCTGGGGAGCCCCCTTCCGAGCCTCGTGAATAGGGACTGGGCGCTGGGCACCCTCAGGCTCACCCTGTTAGCCACAGCCAGGATGACAAGGTTGCAGTAAGCGTCAGGGCTGGGGTCCTGCGGGTCGAGCGGGTTGAGACCCGGGTGGCGCCGCTCCCAGCTGCCGCCTCCGCCGCCACCCGCCTGCCTCCTCTCCCAGCTGCCGCCCGGCTT